TAATGTTATAACAGTCATATCCTAGTTTTCATGAATAACCAAGTGATAAATGGTGAAAGTAACGAGCAGCTAGAGCTAATTTTAATCTAGCTAGCTACCAGTGCTAGACCAGCATATGTTGGTCACCGGTAATCCAGCATATGCTGTGTTTTAGATATTGGTATGATGGTCAGCAGCCATAAAAGTTGTTATACTGAACACCAACAAAATCAGCATTTGTAGTATTTCAACCACTGGTATGCTGGTCAACCAGCATGACCACATTGTGTGACCAGCTAAACCAGCATCAGACCACATCTGGCTGGTAAATATGCTTTGGTGTAGATGCAATATGTACTTTCATTCATGGCGGACTCTTGTCCAGTTCAGCTTACGATTTTGAAATTTGAACTTCTTTTTTACACTTGGGAGTCTTGCCCAAGGACTCTTTTAAATAGTGTAGGGTGCTGGCCCAGGTGGAGGTTTGAACCCCAGTCTGCAGCATACAAGACATTACCCACAACACTATACCAATCTACCAAATTATGGTGAACAAAAAACTGTTCAATGTTCAAATTAGCATTTGCAAATGGAAAAGATCTTATGCAATGACTCTTAAATGTGGAGTTAAAGTGGGGAACCTGTGGCTATGAGGTTTTGCTTTTGCTGTCTGCTAGATGGGCTGGTCAACTCAGTGCTGCCCTAAACTGAACCTATTAGCTTCCAAAGTCATTAATCCACCCTTATACAGAATCAGTCTTATCATTCATAGCTGATCTCTTATATGATTAATAATAATGCTGCATCAGTAAGGCCAAAGTAACTCTTTGGCCCCCTTCTGTCTGGCCAAGTTTACTGCATCTCATAACTCTCACAGAAAGACACTCAGCACTGCTGGGTGGGAATTGGTGCTGGTTAAAAGGGGAATCAGTTCTGCTTGTTTATTTCTCCAGAATCAAGTAAGGGGGCTGACCCTCAGCTTTAATATAAACACTGACATAGATACGTTTCCCTTTATAGGAGGTGAGGACAATCAAGCTTCAAAATACCTGATAATTTGTTCATTGTCTAACAATTGTCTATAACTTTCCTGGTGATAAATATACTGCAACCAGTCTTTTTCTCTTATTAAAAGCCAGTGAAAATGAACCAAAACAACTGACTTTAATAGAATATGCCATAATATAGGATAATGTTAAATATTGTTCTTTTCCACTGTTTAACAGCCTCATCCGACAAAGACAGTCTGTGGAGCTAAAAGAAGTAAATAATGAACTTCTCAACGTACAGAAACTTCACACAATCTAAAATGAAGGACTCGTACACAATAGCTGTGACCAAGAATGTGATCGTTGTGGCTTTGTACTTCTCCATCAACTACATTAATGGCACACTTGTCCAGACCTTCTTCAAGCATGAGATCTTCAATGGAAATCCTCGATATATCCTCTTCATCCATATGGTCATCAACGACATGATCCAGCTGACCATTACGGTGTTGCTTAATGTCATTTCCTACATCTTTTATACAATCAATGTCTCTCTCTGTTGCCTCCTTATAGTAACTGCAGTGTTCACCACCCTTAACACTCCACTAAATCTGGCCGGCATGGCTGTGGAGCGCTACATTGCTATCTGTAACCCATTACGCCACATGCAGATTTGCACTGTACGCAGGACATACATCCTAATTGGACTAATCTGGGTCTTGGGTGCCATCACCATTCTTCCTGATCTGCTCTTTCTGTTAGCCACTGAGCCTTTATCATTCTTTCTTTCTACCATCTCCTGCAGTCGAGACTATGTGTTCCGCCATCCATACCTGGTGGAGAAGAGAAACATCTCATACCTGGTCTATCTGTCCTTCATATGGCTCACTTTGTTCTACACCTACTTCAGGATCATGTTTGCTGCCAAGGCCACCGGTGCAGATGCCCGGAAGGCCCGCAATACCATCCTTCTACATGGCCTGCAGCTCCTGCTGTGCATGTTTACGTACATTGGCCCACTAATCGAGAACATGTTCATTGCTCTCTTCCCCATGCTTTTAAATGAGAAAGATTCACAACTTACATCTTTGTCCAGATTTTGCCCAGGTTTCTAAGTCCTATTGTATATGGTTTGAGGGATCAGATGTTCTGTGCATACCTGAAAAAGCACCTGTTGTGTATTATGCTGAAAGAAAGGAATACAAGAAAAACACAAGCCTCTTAACTGATCTGCCACACTAAATTGTCACAGTTGCCTTCTTAATTAGGAACATTTTAAAAGGAGCAAACTGTAAAGAAAAGAGATTTTGTATGCCTTGTGTATACGTTTTAGAGGATTTAGCTGAGTGATGTTGCTGAATTAATGAAGGGTTACCTAGTTAGTGGAGGAGACGTGAAATACTAGTCTGTAATAACTCTAGCAACAATAAATACAACGCTTCAGTTTTTCCAATGCATGAATCCAGCTGTACCTAACAGACATTTTTAACACAGGAATGTGCTACATGGTGCTTATTTTCCAGTGCTGTTTTTAATGAAGTCAATTTTGTGTCTTGGGTATGTACATGTAAAATAAACATACAAACAATTATCATTAAGTATGAAGCTAATGAAATGCATATTTATAATTTAAATACAGCAAACCACTTTTAGTCAGTGGGTGATGATGCCTAACGTCTTGTGTAGAAGGTTTTGTTGCGAAGACATTGATTTTCACTGTAAAATATGATGGCATGACTTGTGTGTTCTGTTGCATCACATTAATGTACACAGTGCTGTCTATTCAAAATGCCAGTAGTACAGTGCCTTGAAAAAGGATTTGCCCATCCTGAATGTCTCTGCTACTGCCTATTTGTCACAGTGAATGCTGTTAATTATATCATTTATTTAATGCAAACCACCTATGTGAAAAAGTAACTGACGCTTACTTACTCAAGCTACCAATTTGCCAATTTTAATTGATGCGATTCAGCCTGCATGCAGCCAGCCCTGCTCAATGTTACCCTGACTCATATTTAAGTTTAACGTCAGAAGGATGTAGTCTATGTTTTTATAATCACAATAGGCCATCAGGGTTACAAAACCATTTCTAAATTTGTTGGCCATTCCTGAACCATAGTGAGAGCCATTATCTACAAATTGAAAATCCTAGGAACACTGGGAAATCTTCCCAGGAGTTGCACCAGAACCGAATTATCCAGGACATCACTAAAATTTTCAGGAGAACTTCCAATGAACTCCAGGTCTCTGTAGCCTCAGCTAAGGTCAGTGTTCATGACTCCACATTAAAAAAGTGACCTGGGTATTCATAGAGGTAGAAGTAGTAGTGATCATGATTTTGACCAACAAATATAAGCTTAAATTTTAGCTTATTTTTTTACCCTCTTTGGCCAGCATACTCTAATAAGCAACTCTTTCACTGCTAGGATTAGACCATAGACTGTATTGGTTTAAAAAAAACACAGACAAAACAAAACCGAAAGCAAAAACAAGAGATTACAAACATTGAACTTTTTTTTTTTTTTAATGTACAAAGTGATGTACTTTTAATTCCTTGTCACAACTATTCTACAAGTTTTCCCCTTTGACAAATATACACTGTATGAACAAAATGCCCTATATGGTATGGATACCTACACATTACACCCACGGGAGCTTTTATGAATCCCATTCTAAATCCATAGGCATTAATATGGAGTTGGTCCCCCTTTGCAGCTCTAGCAGCTTCCACTCTTCTGGGAAGCTTTCTACAAGATTTTGGAGAGTGTCTGTGGGAATTTCTGTCCATTCATCCAGAAGAGTATTTGTGAGGTCAGACACTGATGCTGGACAAGAGGGCTTGGCACACAGTCTGCATTCTAGTTTATCCCAAAGGTGTTTGATGGGGTTGAGGTCAGGGCTCTGTGTGGGCCAGTCAAGTTCTTCCACACCAAACTCACCCAGTCATGACTTTATGGAGCTGCTTTGCGCACTGGGGTTCAGTCATGCTGGAACAGAAAAGGTTCTTCCCCAAACTGTTCCCACAAAATTGGAAGCGTACAATTGTCCAAAATGTCTTGTTCTGCTGAAGCATTAAGATTTTCCTTCACTGGAACTGAGGGTTCTAGACCAACCCCTGAAAAACAACCCCATATCATCATCCCTCCTCCAGCAAACTTTACAGCTGGTACAGTGCAGTCAGGCAGGTAACGTTCTCCTGGCATTCACCAAACCCAGACTCGTCCATCAGACTGACAGATAGAGAAACGTGATTCCTCACTCCACAGAATACATTTCCACTGCTCCAGAGTCCAGTGGCAGTGTGCTTTACACCCCCCTATGCCCCACATTTGTCATTGTGCCAAATTTTAAAGCATGTAAGTTAATTGTGTGTTGGTTGGTTCATAATAATTCTATGATGTTTTGCTTTTGCCATCTGTCAGATAGACTGGTCAACTCAGTTCTGCCCTAAACCGAACCTATTGGCTTCCAAAGTCATTAATCCACCCTTATTTAGGATCACAGCTAATATTATTCATAGCTGATCTCTCATAAACCCTGCATCAGTAAGGCCTCCAGCTTAGTGGTTCCCACCCACCCTCCTGCAGACTCTTTGGCCCGCTTCTGTCTGGCCAAGTTTAATACATCTCATAACTCTCACACAGAGACACTCAGCACTGCTGGGTGGGAATTGGTGCTGGCTAAAAGGGGAATCAGTTCTGCTTGTTTATTTCTCTGGGATCACATAAGGGGGCTGACCCTCAGCTTTAATATAAACACTGACAAAGAATAGTATCCTTTCATAGGAGACTTAAGAGGTGAGGACAATCAAGCTTCAAAATATATGATGATTTGTTCACTTCTAGACTCTATAACATCTTAATTTTTCTGAGGATAAATATACTGTACAACTACATACTGCAACCAGTACTGACTTTGTCACATTCAACAGAATATGCTGTAATATAGGATAATGTTAAATGTTGTTATCTTTTCCACTGTTTAACAGCCTTATCTGACAAAGGCAGTCTGTGGTGCTAAAAGGAGCAAGTAATGAACTTCTCAACTTACAGCAACATCAGCCAAACAAAAGGGAGGGATTCACACATGATAGCTGTGACCAAAAATGTGATTGTTGCGGCTTTGTACTTCTCCATCAACTACATTAACGGCACGCTTGTACACACTTTCTTCAAGCATGAGATCTTTAATGGGAATCCTCGATATATCCTCTTCATCCATATGGTCATCAACGACATGATCCAGCTGACCATTACGGTGTTGCTCAATGTCATTGCCTACATCTTTTACACGGTCAATGTCTCTCTCTGTTGCTTCCTTGTAGTAACTGCAGTGTTCACCACCCTAAATACTCCACTAAATCTGGCTGGCATGGCTGTGGAGCGCTACATTGCTATCTGTAACCCATTACGCCACATGCAGATTTGCACTGTACGCAGGACATACTTCCTAATTGGCCTGATCTGGGTCTTGGGTGCCATCACCATTCTTCCTGACCTATTCTTTATCCTGGCCACTGAGCCTTTATCATTCTTTCTTTCTAACATCTACTGCAGTCGAGATTCCATGTTCCGCCATCCATACATGGTGGAAAAGAGAAACATTTCATACCTGGTCTATCTGTCCTTCGTATGGCTCACTTTGTTCTACACCTATTTTAGGGTCATGTTTGCTGCCAAGGCCACTGGTGCAGACGCCCGGAAGGCCTGCAATACCATCATCCTGCATGGCCTGCAGCTCCTGCTGTCCATGTTCACGTTCATTGGCCCACAAATCGAGAATGTGTCAATTTCTCTCTTCCCCATGTTTTTCAATGAGATAAAATTCACAATTTACATCTTTGTCCACATTTTGCCCAGGTTTTTAAGTCCTATCGTGTACGGATTGAGGGATCAGATGTTCTGTGCATATCTGAAAAGGCATCTGTTGTGCATTTGGCTGAATGAAAGAAAACAAAGAAAAACACAACCCTCCTAACTGATCTGCCACACTAAATTGCCTTCTTAATTAGGATTGGTATGCCTTGCGTATAGGTTTTAGAGGATTTTGCGTATGTGGAGGTGTGCACACCTGTTACAGAATGAAGGAAATTTAGAATGAATATGACTTTACATTTGCATTTGTATAGGCAGATGATGTAAAATTATGTAAAACATAATAAAAATAATGTTTTTTTAAAGAGTTTGAGCCCATGAACTACAGAAGTGTATCTTATGTTTACTATAATTAAAATCTGGGGTTAAATTGGGATACCAGAGGTGGAGAAGCTCTTTTTTCCATCTATGTCAACAAAGTGGGAACAATATTGTTCAATTTATGCAAAGTTCTCAGCACTGATATAATACAAATGTGATTAAAACTAAAAGCCTGTCTGTTTCTGTTTTGATGACTTAGGTCAGTAATTTTACATTACTGTTTTTAGCATCACTTTATTATATCTAATTATATTAAGAGATGTTCTTATTCTTCTTCATGAAGATGGAAGTCACACTAAAACATTTAAACTAGTAAAATGAAACAATGATGACACATATCTAACATCAAAAGACATTCCCTGTCCTTTTTAACTGTACACCTGAAGCAGCTGCCTTCTGTTTTTAAGACACTGTATGAAATGTGTAACTGTTTAGAGGTTCTAAACAAAATCTGTCTGTACAGCTTATCACAATTAAATGGATTTCAAGAAGACTTTGGTGGAAACTATACATTTCCATTGAATCATAGCACTGAAGCTCAGTTCTGTTTGCTGTTTACATGAACCTCAATTCTGGTGTGTTCCAGCCTGAGTTAACCCCTGGTTAAAAGTCAAATAAAGCTTCATAGTGTTTTTGAACTGTAGCTGTATACAATCAGGCTTCAGTTTTCATATCCAATCCATCAATCTAGCTGTAACTAACAGGCCTATCTTTTACTGTCAACTGTATTTTTCAACAAAAGATAATATTGGACAATGAGAACCTTTATAAACACAAAGCATATTTTTTGAGGAATGCAATTTAATTAAGAAGAAGAAAAATATGCAACATGCGTTTTACCTATTAGAAAGTAACTTCCCCTTTACTTACTCAAGCAACAGATTAACCAAATTGAATTGATGAGATTCACCTGACTACACACAACCAGGCTTGAATGCAGCCAGCCCTACTAAATGTAAACCTCATGCATATTGAAGTTTACCCCCGCTGCCACAACATTTTTAGAAGCACACTGAGCCATGACAAAAAAAAAAAGACTTCCATCTTCATGAAGAAGAATAAGAACATCTCTTAATATAATTAGATATAATAAAGTGATGCTAAAAACAGTCCATGAGTCCATGATAAGTATCTGGCCCAATCTGTTTGGTTGTTATGACAATAAATTCTGAGAAATTTATTAAACTCTTGATTCATTCTTTCACATTTCCCATTAGATTGGGGGTGATAACCTGATGTGAGGCTAACCAAGACTCCAAGACGTTCAAAAAATGCTGTCCAGACTTGGGAGATGACTTGGGGAGCCTATCAGATAGAATACATGATCAAATACACATTCTGCAGTTTGAGATGCGGTGAGCAGAGATGAAAAAGAGATAAATCTAACCCCCCTTGAAAACCGGTCAATGACAGTGAGTATAACAGTTTTATTTTGCGATGGGGCAAGTCAGTCACAAAATCTATAGCCAAATGTGACCATGGACGAGACGGGAATGGTAATGGTAAGAGTTTGCCGGCTGACAGGGTTTTGGGTGTGTTACATTGGGAACAGGTTGAACAGGATGACACAAAACGGAGAACATCTGAAATCATATTTTCCAATCAATATCTACCCTCCAACAACTGAAGTGTTCAAGTTTCACCTGGATGGCCTGAAGATAAAGCTGAGTGATCCGACATAATGAGCTTATCTCTACAGGGGGCTGGCACATAGGCTTTACCTAGAGGACATTTGTCTCGAATGAGAGTACTGGCAGTTAAATTCTGCATTTCCTCATCAATCTCCCATCTAATAAGAGTGAGTATGACAGATGGGGGTAAAATATTCTCAGGCTCCTGGAGGTCAGGCTCTGTACTAGTATATAAACAAGACAAGGCATCAGCTTTGGTATTCCTAGACCCTGGATGATATGTGATGTTAAATTGGAAACAGGAAAAGAACAATGACCACTGAGCCTGACGTGGGTTAAGTCTCTTGGCTGAGCACAAGTACTCCAAATTCTTGCGGTCAGTAAGGACCTGGAAAGGATGAACAGCACCCTCTAACCAGTGGCACCACTCCTCAAAAGCTAGCTTGATAGTCAACAACTCTGTCACCAATACAATAGTTTCTCTTTGCTGGAGTAAGTTTGTAAGAACAGAATGCTATGGGGTGCAACATTTGCGGAGTGCCTACATGCTGGGACAGAACTAAACCAACGCCCACCTCAGAAGCATCGACCTCAGCTACAGAGGGCTGAGTGGAATGAGGAAGTTTTTAAGATTTAGGGCAGGTGTGAAAGCTTCCTTCAGGGCAGTGACTGCCTGATTGGTCTGGGGTGTCCAAACTAATTTCTTAGCATTGCCTTTTAGCAGAGCAGTAAGGGGTGCTGCAATGCTGCTGTAATTGCGAATAAAACACCTATAAAAATTAGCAAATCTCAGAAGTCTTTGGAGCTCCTTTACTGAAGTGGGTTCTGTATGTGGGCCAGATAAGAACAGCTTCAATCTTGTGGTCATCCATAAAAATCCCAGTACTACTGATTTGATATACCCAAAATGCAAGATGGCGCTGAGCATGGCTGCTGTGTTGCAAGCTCCCTTAACTTCTGTTTTTTGTTAATTTTGTTTTTATTTGTAACTACTTTTGCATTAAATTTTGCCAGCACCTTCATTTATGACAGAAAAATACTTTTGGAAATCAGATCAAGGATAACTCACCGAAAACTGGACTTTGAGTTCCTGTACGTGGATCCATTGTCCATCCTCAAAGAGGCCCCATTTATCTGGGCCGACCGGCCGAGGAAACGCCGCAGACACCGGAAAAGGGGCAGGAGAGCCGGCGTTCTGGTCAGGCTGAGGCGGCGTGCTAATCGCCCCCCAACTCCCCAGCCTACTACTGGCAAACATGCTGTCCCTGGACAACAAAATCAGCGAACTCAGGGCACGAATCTCTTTCCAGCAAGAAACACAGGACTGCTGTATAATCTGCCTCACAGAGACCTGGCTATCAGCGGAGATTCCCAACGAGGCCATTGAGCCCACGGGCTTCTCTGTGCACCGCACGGACAGAACGAAGGACCTCTCCAGGAAGAGCAAAGGGGGAGGTGTATGTTTTATGATCAACAATGCTTGGTGTGATCAGAGGAATGTACACTTCATTGAGTCTTTCTGCTCCCTGGACTTGAAATATCTAATCATCTCATGCAGACCGCAGTGGCTGCCAAGAGAGATTTCAGGGATCACTGTCACTGCCATGTACATCCCACCACAGGCTGATACAGACCTGGCGCTTGGGAAACTGTATGAGGCTGTTAACAGGCAGGAGACCGCGCGCCCGGAGGCCACCTCGATTGTTGTTGGGGACTTAAACAAAGCGAACTTTAGGGAAGTCGCTCCAAAGTACTTCCAACACATCTCATGCAGCACACGAAGATCATGCACGCTGGACCACTGCAACTCCCCCTTCCGTGAGGCATACAAAGCCCCCCCCCCGACCTCCGTTTGGCAAATCGGATCATCTCTCCATTCTGCTCCTGCCCACCTATAGGCAGAAGCTGAAAAGGGCACCATCCACCATCAGAGAGGTCCACCGCTGGTCGGATTCAGCGCTTCAGGACTGTTTTGATGACACAGAATAACATCAGCACTGCGCTTCCAGACGAGCTGAATACTTTCTATGCCTGTTTCAAGGCAAATCACACCGCGCACGTGGAAAGAGTCCCCACCCCCGCTACGCCGAGATAACAACCCCCTCCGTCTCCGTGACTGACATGTGCAGAGCTTTTAAGTGCGTTAACATCCGCAAGGCAGCCGGGCCTGACGGGGTCCCTGCATGTGCTCTCAAAGCCTGTGCACATCAGCCGGCAGGGGTGTTTACAGACATCTTTAACCTCTCTCTCTCACTCTCAGTTGTTCCCGCGTGCTTCAAACTGGCCACCATTGTGCCAGTTCCAAAGTCTGCCAGGGTTAATACTCTAAATGACTGGCGCCCGGTTGCTCTGACCTCCATCATAAGCAAGTGCTTTGAGAAGCTGGTCAGAGACTTTATCTGCTCCTCACTACCTGCCACTCTGGACCCACTGCAGTTTGCTTACAGACAGAGCAGATCCACTGATGATGCAATAGCTCTGACTCTACACACTGCCCTCTACCATCTGGACAAAAAGAACACATATGTGAGAATGCTGTTTGTGGACTACAGCTTAGCATTCAACACCATTGTGCCCTCAAGGCTTGACATTAAGCTTCGGGATCTGGGTTTGAACAGTTCTCTGTGCAACGGGATCCTGAACTTCCTGACAGGTCAATGCCAGGTGGTAAGGATGGGCAACATCACCTCCTCCTCACTGACCCTTAACACCAGAGCTCCTCAGGGCTGTGTACTCAGCCCTCTCTTGTACTCCCTGTACACCCACAACTGCTCAGCCAGACACAGCTCCAATGTCATCATCAAATTTGCAGATGACACCACAATTGAACCCCACCAAAACTGAGCAAACATGTACATGGGAAGTTAAGTCAGGAGAGATATCAATGTAAGTGATTACGAAATCACCAAGTTGTAAGGGCATCATTGAAGAATGCTTGGAAAACAGACGGAGCATTACACAAACCAAATGGCATGATAGATTACTCATAGTGCCCTGTAGTGGTAAGAAATGCTGTTTTCCATTCATCCCCTTTCTTGAACCCTGAACCAAGACCAGCGGGACTAATGGTAGAGGATATGGGTACGGTTTCATAATGGAATTCGAACTCGCGATCTCCTGATGATAAGGCCAACGCTTAGACGGTTGCGCC